GCCGATGCCTCCGTCGCCTGGCTGGAGTGGCCGCGGGGGAGTCTGGAGTCGGGCGGCCGCTGGTGGGAGCCGCGGGTGCCCGGGCCGAGATTGGGGGGGCAAGGCGGGCGACAGAAGGCCGATGCCTCCGTCGCCCGGCCCTCTACAGAATCCACCCCCCAAACCTCCAGGTATTTCCCTCCTTAGAGCTGGCAACCCTACATTCCCCTCAGTGCCTGTTGGTAGGCAACTAAGCTTGGTCCTGTCACCTACTTTGGCCTTTGGGAGAAAACACATTGGGGCCAATCCTGATAGGGTTGCCAACTCCAGATGGGAAATTCCTGGAGGTTTGAGGGATGGAGCCTGAAGAGGGTGAGGTTTGAGGAGGGGTGGGACCTCAGACAGGTACACTGCCATAGACTCCACCCTCCAAACCAGTCAGTCTCACATAGGGAACCATTGTTGCCAATCTCCAGGTGAGGGCTGGAGAGCACTCAGTATTACAACTGCTCTGCAGAAGGGAGGGCAGAAGTCAGCTGAAGTCAAAGGGGCAGATAATGGTAGGTTGGTGGCTAGCTGGGAAGGAGATGGGGTTGCCAACTACATGCTGACAAATTCCTGGGGATTTGAGGGGTGGAGCCTGGAGAGGGTGGGGTTTGCAGAGGGGTGGGACCTCAGACAGGTAGAATGCCATAGACTCCACCCTCCAAACCAGCCATTTTGTCCTGGGTAACAATTGTTGCCAATCTCCAGGTGAGGGCTACAGATTACTCACAATTACAACTGCTCTTCAGGTAGCAGAGATCAGTTCCTCTGGAGAAAACAGTGGACTCTGTCATTATACCCTGCTGAGGTCACCACAGCAAATTGACACTGTTTGCTCAAAGCCAGAGCACTGCCCCAGAGCCTCTTTCTAGATCTCGTTGTATTGCTTTCACAACGGGCTTTACTGCTAGTCCCATATAAATTTGCAAAATGCTCCCATTTCATTATTGATGTAGCAAATAAAACATTGTATGGGGTATTGTGTATTCGCTGCTGGATTGTATGTTCTGTGCAGTCTTCCTAGCCTTATTAATGCACAGACCTGAATTCAGTGTTCCCTCTAAGCTGAGTTAGTGTGAGCTAGCTCACAGATTTTTAGCCTCCGGCTCACACATTTTTGTCTCAGCTCAGGGAGGATGGCTCCAGAGCAAACTAATTTATGCAGTGGCCAAACTGCTCGCTCACAACTTTTAATGCCAGAAGCTCACAAAGTAGAATTTTTGCTCACAAGACTCCACAGCTTAGAGGGAACATTGGACCTGATGCTGCCAGCTGTGCTGGGGTATGTGCTAACCCTTATCTGGGAGCATGTTGTGACTTCCATCATGCTGCCCTAGCACCTGGATCAGCATTCCATCCCGCATCCTATTAGTCAAGATACTTCCTTCTCCTTCTTTTCAGCCCAGGTCTCTAAGCACTTCTGTACAGGTCTAGTCTACCTCCCTTTGTCCTATTGCCACCTGTCTTTTCCCCTCCCAATTCCTAATCCAGCCAAAGCTTTAATCCTGTCACTCCACTGATCTTGTCCAGTGTAGAATGTAAACCCAGAGCAGAGATTTCATCATCTGTACAGCATCTTGGTGGCTCTGGCAATGACGAAACATCTTTTTAAAAAACAGTACGCTGCTCAAAGAGGCCTATGATGTAGACATAATACAAGGCAGCTGCTGCTGCTGCATAGATCCATTGAGTGATTGTGGATTTGGCTGCTTGTGTAGTGCAGGTTCTTGGCTTCAGGTAAATTGGAGCCAGAATAATTATGGGTTTTGTCTTGCAGTTTATTGCTTGAATTCACCAGTAGGTTTCCTTGGGCAGAAGGCATTCCCATGTTTGTGACTTCCATCTTTCCCCCTCTCACTGTAGTCCAGAATGCCCCCCAAAGTGTTACTTGTGGGGTACAGGGACCCTCAGGAACAGCATGAGGAGTCAGAAGTCTGCCATGGGTGTGTATGTGTCAAAAATCACCCCTCCTTCCTTGGGTGAAAATTCTCAGGTGGATCCATGGCTATATCTCTCCCCCCCCCCCCTTGCTAGCTAAGATCTCAAAACCACCATTTACCTTGGGCTGCAATCCTCTGCATGCTTATTTGAAAGCCAGTTCCATGCACTTAATTCTGAGAAAATATTCATAGACTCAAGATGCTGGAGTAATTGGGATTTTCCGCTTGATTCCCCCCACCCCCATACGAGGAAAAAGTGTAGCTAAGAGTTGGTTAATGAATTCTCTTTCATCCTCAAGGTTTTTCCATCACTGAAGTTCAGAAGAAACAAGCTATGCTTAATGCCAGCAAACAAAACCAGACTGGAAAACCAAAAGGTAAACCAAGATAGTTTTCTTCCTTTGCATACTCCCTGACCACTGCAGTCATAGTACAACAGCATGGAAAAATAAGAATATTTAGAATAACCAGGTTCTGCAGGCCACAGGGTCAGCTAGGCCTTCTAGCTGCCATGGAGTGGGGGGGGGGGAGGTGTCTCTGGAATTTTAGGTTTCTGTTCACTGTGCCTTCTGCCTTTCCTTATCTCTGTAATATGAGCGTATTGGCCTTGGTGTTTAGCAGTAGCTTTCTCTTGGGAAACTTGACCTGTTAGCTTTGGCAAGTTTTTACCTATTCCTTGATTGGCTCCAAGTGATCGGGGGACACTCCTGAATGGGGTATATCTGCTGACTTCGTGCATTTACTATCAGTTCTAACACAAGATGTCTAAAGATAAACTGCATACTTCAACGTCTCAATAAACTTTACTTCTTTGCATGAAAGTTGTTGGGAACTGATTGCGCAGGGGTCTGACACACAGTCAGATTAGTGTAGCTTGCTGCAAAGGCACAAGTGGGCTTCTGCAGCTGCAGGCGAAGTGAGCTCCAGACCTAACCCAGGTGATCAGAGCACAGCCACTGGTTGTGCACTATTGTAGCCAGGTCCCCAATACAAGTGCCATTAGGCTCCTCAGTTAGCCCTGTACACACATCCCCTCCATGCATTTGCTGAACACATGGGGAGGAAGAGTGGACACGAGCACCCCCCCCCCCAACCCCATCCCTGTGATCCCCAGCTCGTAAGCACAGGAATTACGTAAGGAAGCAGTGTCTGTGTGTACACTCCCTCCCCATGATGGGCAGCGTTCAGAAAGTAGCATCCCAGGCCTGGGAGGGAGTGTACACACAGGCCCTTCTACCATACATTTGGAGCAGGCAGACAACACACAGTTTGAACTGAACTATTTATTGTATTTAGGAAATGTTTAGGCCCCCTCTCCAGGAACCTTCCTGAGGCAGTTTACAAAATAAAAATAATGAACAAAACATTAAAAGGTATTAAGTCCAGCATTTAAAAACCCAGCCCAACATAAAAACAGGCCACTGAGAACTTAAAATAATAGTTTCCAGACTAAAACAGTATTTAAAAATCGAGCCCTTAATTAAAAGCATGGTGAACAGAAACGTTTTGGCCTGGTGGAAATGTAAGAACAGAAACTGCATTCTGAAACAGATGCTCCAGGCCTCGGAAACCACAGTGCTGGTCTGTGATATTTCTGGTGCTGGAGATGATTTGTTTATTTTATACCCCGCCCTACTCCACAAGTGGGCTCAGGGCAGCTTACAACATAAAACCATCAAACAATCAAACAATAAATGGCAGCAACAGATGATAACAAATGATCAGATGATAACAAATGAGATTATAACAGGTTATAACAAATCAGATCTGGTGATAACAGATGATAACAAATGATCTAGAGCACATTGTTTCCTTTTTTTGTTTTATCAGCTGTGAATAGCAAAGCATATACAGACCTTTTTCACATGGCTTATTTGCCCTAGAATCAATGATATTGGGAGGTAGGAAAATTTGTCCTCCAAAACATCTGTGATTTGAATATTGATCTTAGGTTTCCTCTCCCCCCTGCCCAGAAGGTGGCCAGGCAGTCCAGAACTGGGATGTAATTTTTAAAGACACCATCTGGGACTTCTTTTAATCTGGTTTTCTTCAAATTGTCATTCTATTTGATATATTTGAATTTGTAATGTTTTGTACATTCATTTTATAGCTTTGTGCCTCTGCTGTAGGTCACCCAGAGCCCGGCACAAGCTGGGATGGGGCGATTTATAAATCAAAATAACAACAATAACAATGATTAAAAAAAGCTTCCCCAGGGTAGACGCTTTTAAGGGTCAAACGCCCCCTTTGTTCCTTGTAGCTGACAAACAGAGCTTTGACTCTGAAAAGTCTCTGCCCTGGATAGCCCAGGCAGGCCTGATCTCGTCAGATCTGGGAAGCTAAGCAGGGCCAACTCTGTCAACTACTTCGAAGGGAGACCTCCAAGGAATGCCAGGGCCAGGATGCAGAGGTAGACTATCGAGCCACCTCTCTGGAAAATGTCCATGCCCCCTGTAGGGGTCACCAGAAGTCACCATGACTTCCAAGCATGCAAACACACACACACACACACACACACACAATAAAGTTTCTACCCTGGAAATCTTGTTGATCTCTAAGGTGATGCTGGACTTGAATTTTGCTATTCTACTGCAAACCGGTATGGCTACCCACCTGAAACTATCCATTTTATGATATGACTCACCCCAATCCATCCTATTAATGAACTCTACTCCATTGGATTGGTAGTTTTCCCAGCAGATCAAGGCATCCTGAAGACACAAGATTACTTCATCACTGCCAAGGCAATCCAGTGCCCATTGTTAAAAGCAGTATGCGGAAACTGAAGTCTTCCTCTGTTAATAAATTTTATTCCAGATTGACCAACATAGTCTGAAATAGTGAAAGGGGGGTGGTGGTGTCTTTATGGGCTTGGATTTTAAGAGGTATGATAGTAGCAGTTCTGTGGAGCATCAGTTGCACCGACCAGTGTGGGGGAAATGCCTTATCAGTGTCACATGTGCTCACTTCATTGTTTTAACAGTGGTCACCAGGACGTATTACGACTTCCTGATGCGCCAGAAGCACCCTACCTTGCCTACAAACCTCCCCCAGCAGCAAGTCTTCATGTTGGCAGAGCCCAAGCGCAAGCCTTCAAACTTCTGGCAGAACATCAGCAGGCTGGCACCATTTCGAAAATAACCGGAAGCCGCTTGTATCCTGTGCCTGAAGACCTTCTGAGAAAGCACTTTATGCACCAAGCCCTGCAAAACTAAGCACTAGCTCCCCCTACTGGCTTTCAGAGGGATAGCACCTACCCTTTATTTCCTTGTTTCTTTTGCCAAGACTGAATGGGCTCAAGTGTAGAGGATGACATGGACCGTATTTTGTTGTTTGTGTGTGCGTGTCTCTCTCTCTCTCTCATGCTCTCTTTATTTTTGAAAACGAGTCCTCAAGCCTGCACATCCTTTTGAACACCCAGAAGAGAAAGCACGAGACTGGAGTCTGAACTTCCTTCCCTTTCCTTTCTTAACCTTCCTCAGTTCTTGGGCTGTGCCTCCCCTTAGGAATGGTGTTTGCTTTCCGTTTCAGCCAGGCAGAAAGAATGAGCAAGTGAGCAATCCCCATTCCCTGCTTGGTGTTTGCTCAAAACAGCCGATCAACATTGCTGCTGTTCATGCACTTTGCCAAGGTGAGCCACTCCCCTCCTCTGACTCCACCAGTTCCGCTATTCACGGAAATCCTGAAGAACAGAACACCTCTGCCTGGCACCTTTCACCATCCTCGGCTGAAGTCAAAACTATCGATGACGAGCCAGAACATCAAATATGGACCCCGAAGCACGACTAACAACAGAGACTTCTGCAATTATGATGGGCTGGGTGGTGGGGGGGGGGGGGGGGGTTGGGGGAAATGTGCCTAAATTAACTTCGGATTACTTTTACTCTCTACCAACACTTTGCCATAGTTTCTGGCCAATGAAAAATTTCTCAATGTTTTTAATGTTTATTTATGGTAAAAGTGCAGATAACTGTATTTTGTAAAAGTTTGTAATCAGTCTTGTCAGATGTTAACTTGATGCCTGTTTATTTTTCTCCTGACAAAAGACCAACATTTGTAAGCCTAAACACCGAAAGATACGCCACGCAGAAGTGTCTAAAGATGAATTTCAGATGTAGCAGACACTCATAAAAATCAGTATTACTGGATACTGTGCCACCCATGCAGATGACTGCAGAGGAGGCAAGGGTGCTACAAGAAAGATTGGAACACTGAGCTCCAAAATTTGTATGGGCAGGTTGCATTTAAGCAGCTGCACTTCAAAATTATGGGCAGAAATACTCATTTAATCCTTGATTAGATACAGGAAAAAAGATTTGCCTTATAATAGTGAGATAGATAGAAGCCATAACTGACTGGACCCCATAATTTGGGGATTCCTGGTACTGTGAAGTTGGAAGGCAAACCCCAACTTACTCTTGTATGAAACTACTGCAGAGAAGTGAGCACTAAGCCGTCTGAAGGAAAGCGATGCAGTGTCCAACAGTAGTTGGCCAAAGACCGGTCACGTGAATCCAGAAGCATGTACAGATTCATTCTTGCACTATCTTCCCCCCCATGGGAGGGGGCTACATTTTATTTCATAAAGAAACTTGTAAAAGTGACTTGTTTAGTTTGCCTGTATATATATCCTCTTCGCATCTGGTCACCCTAGCTGGAGAACGGGCCACTGTTGAGCAGAGGACAAGACTGGTTATCATGTGTAGTCAGGGGGAGACATATATGTCAGATTTGTGTCAAAGTCCAGTTTGACCCAAGAACCACATGATTTTAGCCTGGTTTAGTATGGAAGAAATCTCCCTTCTGCTGCTTTTCACTTCTGTGCTAAAGGAGCTGCTGGCTTAGGTCCCGTCCCTGGTTTAAAGGAATACCTCCCAATCTGGGCATAGGGTTGCCAGCTCTGAGTGTGGAAGTACCTGGAGTTTCTTTGGGGGGGGTGCAGCCTGGGGAGGATAGGGGCCACAGTGGGGTACAGTACCATAGAGTCCACCCTCCAAAGCTGCCATTTTCTCCAGGGGAACTGATTTTGGTCATCTGGAGATCAATTGTAATAGCAGGAGATATCCAGGTGCCACCTGGAGGTTGGCAACCCTACGCCAGTGGTTCCCACACAGCTATTAAGGGATCTGTCGACAAATTGGCAACGCTCCTCTACAAGCTTGGAAGGCATACTGAAAATCCTGGTAGAGTGAAATCTAAAACAAAGTTTATTGGGGGAAATACAACAAATAGTTGGCTTGGAGACGTAGGGACCTCAAGCACTCACAACAACTTAGGTAGACAATAATAAAGTCCACTGTGACTGCTTCCACATGGGAGAACAAAACAGCACCCCTGCTGGGGAAACAGCAGCAACCAGGGTGGAGGTGGGCGGGGATGGGGGGTCACACTTTCCTTCTCCATGCTGCTTGCTGCATGTCCGCATCACTCTGGCCATTGTGGTAGAAATGGCCAGACACTCTGTCTTGGCACAGACTGGCATACAGAGGAGCTGCTTCGATTCTCAAAGGATGGAGGGGGGATACGACCCAAAATAGAAAAGCTCAGCAACAAGTTCCCAACGTTTGCCTCTTACAGGCTCCAGCCCAGTGGCTGAGCTGGTAGTTTCATGGGTGGTTCTCGCACATGGACAGGCTTGTGTGGTTTCCTTATTGCTGCTGGATCTGCTGATACAGTGCAGTGGTAATGGGGCTTCCACATGGCAGGCTTCCCTGTAGCTTCCCTGCACTTCCCTAGTATTGGCTACCCCCTTTCCCCAGGGCACTGGGACTTGTTTCAATTTTAAAAGGAAAATCAGCAATTGAACATCATTATTAAAAACATCTACAGGTTATCTGAATTCCCAACTTTAATTTTTAAAAAAGTAAGTCTCTAGCCCTTCCCTTGTTGAGATACATCTTCCCTCTTATATCTCTTCCATGAGAGGGGATACAGACTTTTTAAAAATGAAATGTGGGAATTCAGAGAACCAGTTACACATATTGTTATGGCAATATTCAATTGCCATTAGTCGAGGGAAGAAATGGCCACCACAGGGATGGGGTCAGGGAAAATGGCTGCCATGTGGGCAGAAAATCCAAACTTTCCCACCACATAGCAGCCATCCTGGCTTAACTGTGATCTTTCCCAAAACTTTGCAGCAAAGCAGGTTTAAGAAAGAGCAGGGAAGACCCAGGAGGTGCATGAATGCAACACAATCTTGTGTGGAAATAGTTATGTTAATTACTTGGCAAAAGCAGTACCCAGTGATGACTTGCCAAGCAAATGATTAAGAGTCCAGTAGCACCTTAAAGACTAAAAATAATGTGGCATGGTATGAGCTTTTCTGAGTCATGTGAGCAGTGATTCACGAAAGCTCATACCCTACCACAAATTTTGTTAAATCTTTAAGGTGCTACTGGACTCTTGCTCTTCTACTGCTACAGACAAACACGGCTCCCCATCTTGATCTATCTCCAAACAAATGTATTTTAAAAAATCAAATCAGTCATTAAAAACACAGCTTTTCAGTTCACACATTTAGCTACAAGATGCCAAGGGATGAGAAACCAAATGATATACACACACATCTCTTAAGTGGGTGTCACTTCTTTGGGGCAAAATGACCTCTGCCCCTGCACTGTATGAACATTTTCTTGGATAGAAGCAGGCCCTTTAGGAAGGTCATCAGCTAACCAAATGCAGGGGCAGATGTGCTCCCTGGGTCCCATTAGCTGGTTGACAGGATTCTACATTCAGAGTGGAACTTGGCAGTTATGATAAAGCACAGCATGCTGCATTTGCTACTGTTGCAGCTTTCAAGAGACAAGCCTCTTTGGATGATCCCTTTAGTACAGCTACCCTTGGTCAGCACGCTAACATCCTAATGGTCCTGAAGCCTGACCTTCAGAACAGAAGTCCCATTTGTAGGATCCACAGAGTGGCTGAGGAGGAGTTTTGTATGGACCCTTCCCTCCACCGCCATGACGGGGGGGGGGGCAGAACTGGGGTCTGCTTTCAGAAGCACCCAGGGCAGCTTGCTGTTGCGTGCCATCCGCCTTCCCAGCCCTTTCCCGGCCAAGCCATGAAGTACTGCTGTAGTGTGGATCAGTAAGGAAAGTGAGGGGGCAGTCTGGGGAAATCACTATTGTGCTATGGCAGTTTCGCACAGGGGCAGTGACAAAGGGGGAGAAGTGGGGAGTGGAAGGGCAGTGGCAGCAGCAAGCGGCACAGGAGCACACCATTTGCTGCTGTTGTGAGAGGAGTGCATTTCTGTACCCCCATACAGGTATAGTAGAGTTGCCAGCCCTGCATGAGCAAATGCAGGGATGTGTTCATAAATAATAGTAATAAATAATATTAGGGGAAATGCCTGGGGAGAGTGGAGCATCAAAGGAGTCTGAAATAACTTCCAGGTGATGTTTTAGGAGTTTCTGGGAGAAATCTCTGTGCTCCCCCGCCCCCACCTTTCTTCTGGGGTTGATTTGTTCTCTTTCCGTTTCTTCTGGTCTGTTCCCACTTCATCAGGAGCTCTGAAATTTTATCCCTATGTCTGTTCGAAGATGGTTTCGGCCACATTTAAGACAGAGCAAAACAACCATTCAGGACACGTATGTCAACAGAAATCCTAGGAGGTAAAATGTACTCAATTAAAACAACAAAACATAGATCCAATCCTTCCCAGACATTCAGTCTCAGAGAAGGTATTTTGAGGAGAAATTGATCTGAAGTTATTTCAAGAAGCTTTTTAAAAAATCACAATCAGAAAGCATTTACACAAGCAACCTTATGAAAATCTCTCCTTCCTCTACCGTGTCTCTTTACTCTTCCGCCCCCATTCAGTCCCCGAGAGGACCCGTCTCCTATTGTGGATCAGCTAAGTTCACTTGGAAGCTGCATAATTCACATGACTACTGTTCCCAGAGTCTATATTCCATCTGGAGTGTGTTTTGCACCTAGTCATAATAGTCACCAAACCATTTGACTTTTAAAGGGATAATATAGCTCCAGACTGTACAGGTGCTTTTGCTGTGCCCCTTGCTATTTTAGATTCATCTGCACTGACTGAGGTTCATCTGTGTACTGCATTTTAGTCATTTCTGTCAGTAAGAACATAAAAGAAGCCCTGCTGTACCAGGCCAAATGCCCTTCTACTCTGGGCATTCTGGTTTTCAGTTGCCAACCATTGGTCCATGGTGTGCCCACAGGCAAGCTACAAAAGTAATAGCTTTACCTTGCTGCTGCCCCAGGTACACTGCCTTTAAGTATGGAGGCTTCATTTAGCTGTGATGGCCTATAGCCATTGATCTTAATTTGGCTAGGGTGGGGGGCACCCGCCTCCGTAGCGAGGTGTGTGGTGGTCGCAGTAGCGAGCGGCGAGAACATCAATGGCGGCGGAGCCTGGGACGGCGTGGTGCGGAGAAACATCGGAAGAACGATCCCTGGCGGCAGACAACTGTGGTGGAGACCGGTGACGGCGCACAATGATGTGCATTGCGAGCGCGGCGGAGCCTCAGCGGACCTACCACAGGGTGCTGGTAGGAAATCCCCACCCCTACAGTATGTGGCCTTAGATAGGGTAATAACAGTTCATAGAACACCCCTGTAAACCGCCCAGAGACCCCTAGGGGTTAGGGCGGTATAATAAGTTGAATAAATAAATAAATAAATAAATAAAGGTAAAGGTTCCCTTGCTCGAAAGCCAGTCGAGTCCGACTCTAGGGTTGCGGTGCTCATCTCCGTTTCAAAGCCGAAGAGCCAGCGCTGTCCGAAGACATTTCCGTGGTCATGTGGCCGGCATGACTAAACACCAAGGCGCATGGAACGCTGTTACCTTCCCACCAAAGTGGTCCCTATTTATCTACTTGCAATTTCTTGCTTTCGAACTGCTAGGTTGGCAGGAGCTGGAACTAGAGACGGGAGCTCACTCCGTCATGCGGCAACTCGGGTCTTAAACTGCTGAACTACTGACCTTCCACAGCCTGCAGTTCAGCATCTTAACCACTTGAGCCACCGCAGCTTCTTTTAATTTGGCTAGTCCCCCTTTAAAACAAAAGTCTGCTTCCGTCAAAATGGTGCATGTGCTCACTCCCCAGGGTCTGGTATTGGGATCAGAACCAGTGCAAGAGCGGGAAGTGGCCAAGCTTGACATATGATTCTAGATGGTGAAGGGATCCAAGAGGGTCCCCCAAACTGGGTGAGTGGGCAGCATTATGGTTTATTGGTGCTCCTTTCATTTCACCCTATCTCGTTCTATCATTAAGTAACCATTGCATGATTCCTAATACGTGTATGAGTGTAAGAGAAATCAGGATTCGGGAGAGAGGGGCAGACTCTACGTTCTTTGTTCTGTCTGAATATGCAAAGCAGCATCCTTCTCGCAAAAAAGGGGGGGGCGGAAGGGGAACAGCACTGAAACTGACTGTACTGCAAGGGCAGGGACAAAGCCGCTCAGGAAAAAAAATAGCATGAACACCTGAATGGGCACAATAGGGTGACATGAGCTATATTTGTACTATTCGAAAAAGTGTTCATGTATTTAGAGAGCAGAATCTGTTAACAACAGTGGCACGGACGATGAAGCATATTAACCCACATCATTATACTGACCTACACTGTATTGAACATGATACATATTACTCTGCAAGAATCCTAATGACAAGCCTTGATTTGAAAGAGAATGCACCAGACTCTCATGTTACTACAAACACACATTATATGAAACACACTAGTGTGGAATACGAATGAGGGCTAGTGTTGGAATACCACATTCATACTGGGGAGCCTGGGGTTCATACCCCCACTTTGCCATGAAATTTATAAGGCGCTCAGGGCCAGTCATTATCTCAGACTAACCAACCATATAGGGCTTGTTGTGAGAAAAAATGTACCTGGCTCTGAGCATATTAAAAACTAGGAAAAAGGCCCATTGTGGAAATAAATACAACGGTCTCTAGAAAGAGACCTTGGACCAAGGCAGGTGCCCCGGCCTTGGACACTCAGTGTCAATTTGCTGTGGCGACCTCAGCAGGGTATAATGACACTGAGTCCACTATTTTCTCCAGAGGAACTGATTTCTGCTACCTAAAGAACAGTTGTAATTTTGAGTGATCTCCAGTCCTCACCTGGAGATTGGCAACAATGGTTCCCAAGGGAATAGTTGGTTTGGAGAGTGGAGTCTATGGTTTTGTACCTGTCCGAGGTCCCATGCCTCCTGAAACCTCACCCTCTGCAGGCTCCATCCCTCACATCTCCAGGAATTTCCCACCTGGAGTTGGCAACCCTATCTCCTTCCCAGCCAATCATCAACCTACCTTTATTTCCCCCTCACTTTTCAGCTTTCCACCCCCCACACACACCTGCAGCCTCTCCTGTGCTCTGAAGCCCTGACTGCTACGTCACATTGGCTGTCATACGGTGGCCACCTCAGCAGCATATAAGGATACAGAGCCCACCATTTTCTCCAGGGGAACTGATCTCTGCCGTCTGGAAAGCAGTTGTGATTCTGAGTGATCTCCAGCCCTCACCTGGAGATTGGACACATTTTACCTCAGAAGAGCAAACTGTTTAGAATGTTAGAGGCAAAAGCCAATCAAGTCGCATATGCAAACGACCTCTGTGTTCCGAGGCAGAGGCCAATGAGGCTGCATATGCAAATAACCTCTGTGTTCTGACTGGCTATGGGGGGGGGGAGGAAAAGCAAAATGTTTAGAATGTTGGAGGCAGGACTCAGGCAAAGCAGCCAGTGGATAGGGAGACCCTCTGAATGACAGATCAGAGAGCGAACTGATTTTGGAGCGTGTGGAATGTTCTAGAGAAGTGCCACCACCATTCCTCTTTTATTTGTAAGGGAGATGCCACTATGTATCCTTCTTGGATGGATATGAAGAATAGGAGGAGCTTGCTAATTTTCAAATCACCAAGAAGAGATTTAATACTTGAGACAAACATTTGTTCCTGTGCACACATCACAGCAGAATTCAAGCCAGTCAGATACACTAGGAATCATGTTCCTATTTGGTAGTAAGCAAGGCCTTGCCTCCCATGCAAGTCCATGGGCTCCCCTGGTAGCAGCCTTTGACACAGGGCTACTACATAGACCAAAGGGTCTTGGTTTGCTTGCTACTTTAAATTTCTAATCCCACTGAAAGGGAACCTGATCTGAGCAACTTTGTCCTTTGTGCTTCAGCTGTAGTTGCCCTTGCCCATTTCGCTGCCATCGAAAAATTTAATGGAATAAGGAAAAATGTGTTGAATTTTAGACTTACACAGGAGGGAAATCACACCTCTCTATAAGAACACAATCTTTGGTGACACTTCCATGCAGTACTCTTTTCTGGAACAATGCATCAGTACAATATATGGAATCTTTGACCAACAAGCAATACTGGTTTCCTTTTGAAGAAAATAGCAATCGTTTTGAAGTAGTGTTTGTTGGGGCAGCAAGACAACACATTGGTGGCATGACATGACCAGTACAATCCCTAGCAACGCTACATTTACCCAAATAGCAGTCTCCTAATTAGTTGGGGGAATGAGCAAAGGAGACCGAGTGAGAGGCGAGTTACTGGGATTATCTACTTATATATACCAAGATTTTTCCCTTTAAGAGAACTCTCAAATAAACCACACAGATGTTTAACCAGGAAGGTTTTTATTAAAAAGAAAATAAACAAAAATGCACCCACAATGAAACACATATAAGAGCTGACTAAGGAAAGCAAGTAGGAAAGGGGAGATTTTTAGGGAAGGACAATTACCGAGCTTGACAAGGTCCATAGAAGTAGCAAGTTGAAGAGCAAAATGGCCAGCGTTTCAGGAGGAGAGAGGAGAGCTCACAAAGTGGGGGTGTATGTGGTTGGTACCAGGAACACACACTGCTGGGTGGCACTAGTTATAGGGCAAAATGTACTCTTAGGCAGGGATAACAGGCAAACACAATGACTTAATGGTTTTACCAGAGGTAGACAAAAAGGTGTGAGAAGCTTGATACACAAGCACAGGATGAGAAGGGCATTTAGGAAAGTGAAAAGATTTAAGCGTTGATTAATTGCCAGTTAATCGGGGTATAATGGGAAGTGTGGGTGGGGTGCTGATGGGATTATGCTGAGTGAATCAATAGGTCTGAGATGACTCATTGTTTTAAAGTCATGCAAGAGCAAGGAGGTAGTAGCCAGCCAGCCGCTCTCACACCTTGAAAGCTGTTTTCCTGGCTGATGCCTGGCTGGCATCCATCTTGGTCCATTTTGGCCCAAGCAGTGCCCTGGCACTAAGATATTGGGGTGATGTATGGAGAGGTGTTCTGCCTCTATAAGCAATAAACTGCTCCTCTGCAAGAGGAGGGGTCTGACTGCTAAATAAGCAAAAGATGTAGCTCTGTTTAGGATTGCACTGTACATCATAAGGCAGGCCAGATCTGTATTTGACTTAAAACTTTCAAAATAAATTTGTGTCAAATGGTGGCCATCTGCACTGATCAGCTTGTCCAGAGTATGCAAATGTGTACGTGTATGTTTGGGGGGGGGGGGCTGTAATTGGCAGATAAATAAGACCACATTAAGCAACACAGTCAATCTTTATTGAAAACTGAAGTATTAATACATAACAATTCCTGTTACATAAACGTGCTTTTAAGAATTTAACTCTGAGCTCATCTACTAATTGGATTGCATAAAAATAAAAATGAATTTTACACAATTGGCTCAGAATGGAATTGCCACTCTTAAGTGTTGATGCAATAGTTCAATGCAGATGTGATGCTTTAAACTTGTTCTGGAAGACAACATTGACCTAAACTTGGAAAAAAGTACCAATACAACTGTTAAGACAGTTTTTCTTCTTAAAAAAAGTTATCAAAAAAGGAAACCTGTGCCTATTTTATAACAAACACTATTACTGGGGCCTCTTGAACCTCTGTTGCATGCACTCCCCCTTTCACCCCACAAGGGCAGCCAATAATAGCACTACAATAAAATCCCACTAACAGATCCGTTCTACTAAAAACAAGTCTGTACAGCAGCAAGCTAAATGAAGCTTCTCCAGTTTGCTTGCTAAGTGCTCAAAAAGTCACACCAGATTGGAAACAAGTCACACAGACACTGATGCTGGATAATTAGAGGTTAAACTGTTCAGAATACCTTGATATGTTAAACTGGCTCCTGATACACTCAAATTTTCTATCACATTAGAAAGGGTCAGATGCTCCTGTCTCTCCCACCTTAACTTCCTATTATTAGCTGTAAAACCCGTTCAAATAGCCTGAAAAAGACAAAGCTTAAACCCTCAAATCTGAGACACTAATGCAAAATAGGCTTTTAACTTTGTTATAATATTGACCTTCTTTCTGTCTGCACCCTGACCAAAAGGATCTTCACAGATGTTTCAATGCACACATGGAACTCCTCTGCCTGCATTTCTAGATCCATGGCAAATGGCAAACGGGAGGGGGGAAGGAGGGGAATAAGCTTCACATATTGAGAGCAACAGGTAACACAAAAGCTTTCCCTTCACTGAAGTCAACTGGGAAACAAGGCTTTCAGAGAAGTTCCACATGTGCATCAACACTCACACAAAGCTCTGGATTTGTGGGTGTTGTGTTCAACATGCAAAGACAGAAAAGGTATTTGTTTACTACCTGGACAGGTTCACATCCCTTGATGGTTCCTAGCAGAGTAACCCAATGCAAAAGGCTATGCCAATCCTCACATCTATCAGGGAGTTCATATAGTGACACGACTGACCAGCAGGAACATTAAAGCTTTTTTTTAAACCAATGCTTTTTTCAGAAGTAGCCACTAAAGACTGGATATTCATCTAAAAATGTCAACCTGATGTTTCCATCTAAGCAGATTTCACAAATACTCTGTTCCATATATAACAAGATAACCCCTCCAAGATTCCTGCATTTTAACCAGGACAAAGTTAAAGCTGCTTAAAAATACAGTGGTCAAGAAGTAGGAAGTTCTTGTTACAGAAACAAGTAAACGTTCTGCCCTGCCAATTCTAATTTCACCACAGAGATTAACACTGGTTGGAGAAGCCAACTGACAATGAAATGTTTTGATGTGAATGGTGTACCATGAGTTTTAGTCAGAAAAATTAGAACTCTAAGTGGCTTTTCAGTTTCAGAAATCCAGCTACTGTGAATCCCCTTCCTCCCCAACCCCATCACGATCACAACACCAAACACACCTTTTATGCTTGCTTTATAAATTTCTCAGAGTATTTCTTAGAATCTGTGTATCCTCAACAACGGTTTCTAGTTCAACATTTATAGCCAGGATTAATGGAGGCTTTATTAGCTTCCTCTTATTTGGTTAGTGCTAACACCTGTTACATCTACTAGCTTTTGGGCAAAGAGCAGTTCCACAGAATGCAATTTATTTTTTTAAGATACACACTTAGGATACTATCTGCCCAATCCTATACAGAATTACTCCAATCTAAATCCATTTATTTCAGTGGGTTTAGACTGGAATAATTCTCTAGACTACACTGTGTGTTACCTATTTTTGGAATCTCCTCTATACCTTCAATATTGTTTAAACGCATGTCTGAAGTGAAACCCAAGACTTTTGTTTTGTTATTGCTGATTTTTTAATTCAGTTCTAAGTTGATAAGTATATTGGCTGCATTCACTTGACAGCAGCTTGATTTGAGCCTTGTCTCTACTGCATTAAATTCCCCTTTAAAGTTTTCTGGGGAGTTCCAACACAGCTACATACGATGAATCTGAGATTTTACAACACACACACACCCGCGCACGCATACCCTCCCCACAGGAATTCTACATCGGGAGTGGAATGAGCAGCAGCAGAAGATCCACAACATCCCCCTGCTGTCTGTAACCCCATTTGAAGTACAAACTTTCAGTTTCATATTCATGCTTTTTATTATTTGCAACAATATACCAAGCTATATACACCCCTCGTCACTGTGCTTTTGGTTACTTCCCTAGTGAGTCTACTGGAAGCATAGGGCCACCTCCAGTAAAATGCCCTCTCCTCTCCCTCCCACCCACAGATTAGAAGTTCTGGAAGGTGCAGTGATCTTTTGCAATAAGTACTATTCCTCCCTTGCAGATGGATCCCATAACACAACTTAGAAGAAAGTGCTCAACTTAGATCACCTAAAGGCTGCAACTACTATGGTGTACAGAAAGTAAGAGGAAGCATTTAGAAATGTGAAATAGGAGAAAAATAAATTATAATGTTGTCCTTACCATTCACAAAGTGCTGCATGAGCAGAAGGCGTTCAGGGTAGTTATGCCAAGAGAGTGAAAGAGGTGCTGTATTCATTGGTTTTCATTTCAGCATAGCCTTGTTTCAAAACTCAATTGTTCTACATGGCCAGAGATATTTTTTTTAAACTTGAAATTTGCTAAATCGGACATCTGTCCATATCAAATTATCACTAGCCTGTGGAGCACTTTGTGAACTGATTCTTCAAAGAGAATAGCTAAGCAGACTCATCCTAAGCAGTACAGATTCAAATGGTAGGGGAAAGAAGGTCTTCTATACAGAAGGTTCTCAAGACTAAGATTTAAAGTAACTTTACTTTTTGTTGTGCTAAAGGCTTTTGGATGGGATGGGTCCATGGAAAATAAACTTTATAAAACCTAAAGTAAAAAAATATATGAAGAGTGCTTATTGCAAAAAAGTTAAGCCGTCAAGGCCCTGGCCTCAACTGGGGTGTGAGGTGCAGAAGCCTCCTACCCCAGGAAAGGACGGGAGAGCAGCATTAAAATCAGCAAGCATGCTACACAGGAGTAGCTACCAAATCTGATTAAAAGACTGATCACCCCCAGTATATCACTCCAAAATAAAGCAAAGGACACTCATATTTCACAATTTTAAAAGCCTTGTGAATGTACTACCAAAATACTACACAGAAATCATTAACTTTTAAAAGGGAATGGCGTTTATAACCATTTACTGCACAAATTTATTGCTGGCAACAAGTACTGGGAAAATAAATGTCCGATTACTGTATGTTAAATTATGCCAATTTAAAGAAAGCCCTTGATTGCATTTAGCAATGAAACTTTAAAAAAAATACAGGATCATAATGATTTTGGTACACAAATAAGGTTCCAAGACTAGCCCTATATCCCCAGAGCATTGACTGAGGTACTTCTGTAAAAACTCAAGCTGTAGCAGAGTTCAGAAGTGGTTCTTTGCAATGAAATACTGCATCTGCTTCCTTAACTCAGTTTTCCAAATGCAATTTTAGTAGGCAAAAAGAGGTTATGCAAAGTTTAACACAAAAAAAAAATACTGCCACCAATGAATACCTCTATACTCGATCATTTTCTAATTTAGTAACAATTTTTTTGGGGGGGGGGGGCAGAAAAACTCTTGTGTCCTGACAACCGCTCATTGCTACACTTTGTTCATAATCTATGCTGCAAGGAAATCAATCCAATAAAAAAGCCGTTTAAAATTATTTGTTCCCCTTTAAATATTAAACATGGAAACTTACTTCAGAACACATAGTTGAATTCCTTCCTACTGACTGAAATATTCTGGCATTAGTACATTTTACAAAAGCAAACTGGTCTAAACTGCAACATTTTCAGCTGGAAAGGACTAGTATGTTCTGGGGGGGGGCGGGGCAAAATTTGAAGCCAAATGGAATTTGATTCTACTGGCAGTGTGGAAATTTTCTGAACATAACAGCAATCATCTGAATCAGTGATTTTTCTAGGAGGTAAACCACTGTGTAGACAGTTTTCCACCTAATAATCTAACAAAGTAAGTATGCCTTGATGATCCAGACAGCAAGACAAGCTGCTTTTGTTCACTGATGACGGTACAACATTTTTGTATAATTTAATTCTTATCCTTAAGAATGTCCATGTAACACTGAATCAAAAAGGAAAAAAAGGAAATGGAATAGGTATGCATGGTAAACTGATCCTCTGTAAGATTTCTACAAACTACAAACTCCTTTTCCAGTCAATGAACTAGGAAAGGAAAATGTCACTTTATGGTGCCCCCTTCAACTGGTGCCTTCATCAACCTTAAAAGGTTAAAGCACTTCCTAATGTATAGTATGGTTTTTCTATGAAAAAAGAATCACTTTCACAATTCTACCTTTTAAGACCCTGCATACATTACAACAGTGCATTAGTAAAACAAATTGTAAAATACTTCTCGGCTCCTTTGGATTTTGCATATGACAGTTTTTGCATCAGTCACAGCAGGTAGATTGAGCAAGCTTTGTGTGTTTCTTAAACATGCATTCAACTAGATATGATCAATAAATTTATACTCCCTTTAATCATTATAATTAGCTAAAAAATTGCAAGACAGTCCACAAAACAGGATTTGCTTTAAGACTAACTCCTGGAGTTCCAAGATGTAAGATATGCAGCACTGGGAAATCTTCAGTGATCTGGAATTAGTGTTTAGCAAAGGGTTGCAAGCATCAGAAGAAATAAGTCCTGGTTGGAGGCATGAGGGCTTCAGCACCAACTTTTAAACCTCAGTTACTTGATTGCATATCTCCCATCTCTAAACCTGCAAAGGAGGGTGACAAAAAGCCTAAGTAGCATCTCAGTCTGGTTTACTGCAACAAAACATACCAATACAGATTTTTTTCAGATACAGCACATCACTAGGTGTCTCAGTCTCAAGACCAGCCATGTTACAAAGGCTTGCCAAGCAAAACAGTCTCTGTACAGTTTGTGTTCTAGAGACAGCATAGCCTTATTCTTCTTCCTCACTGAATGCACTGTATGTTGTTCACTTTGGAAATGCACCCACTAAAGCTGTACTAGAAAGCCCAGATATACTTATGTCTCATTTGAATGGATATTTTAATATAAGGATGAAATTGTGTTCAGACTGTCAATAGAACAGGGATGGAACATTCAATTATAAAAAAGATTCTGATCACTCTTAAAGTTTCCCCCCAAGATAACAAAGTTACTTCAAATACGGTTATTTTGCAATTGCCCAAATGCATCTACTATCTTTTCTGAAGAATGAGGCTAACTCGCATTGTTCACTTTTTGCTGAATGATCTTGAGGACTTAAATAGGGAGAGGAGAAATGAAACTGCTGAAAACTGCTGAGCCAATGTTTTCATAGCTACTTAAACCAGCTCGCTGGCAGTGTTGCTGGCTTGTTGAGTAGACGATATAGCAAGCATTTCCTTATGGAAAAGAGTGGTTTCTGCATACTGTAGGAGGCCAAGTAAAACCCTCAGACCCCAAGGGCCTCACTCAATAATTTTTTTATACAAAATCAAAATTATCATCATTAGGATCCTGAGTATATCAATAGCTGTGCTTGGAGAGCATTTTCCAACAGAAGAAACATCCAGGAAAACAAGGTTAAATACATTACTTACAGAGTGCAAATTCCAGAATGGCTCCTGACAACTACCTCCCCCACCCCACAAGAATTCAGTCATGTCTTATGCTAGTTCTCTCATGAAGAATCTGCTACAATTACTTGCCCACTTACAAATAAAAATAAAACAAGTTGTGCCAATTACTTACACTGCCTGGTAATCACCACTGTGGGGGCACATAGCTATAAGTTGGAGTTCCTGGGGCCCGATAAGTAGGCATTGTAACTGGGTGTGGGGCTACAGGAGTTGGGGAATGTGTTGTCAACAAGGTACCTGAAGGTGGAAAAATATTTCACGATTTCATAGCTTTAACAGATTACATCATGCATCCACAAATGAACGGTGACCAAGTTGACTAGATCTTTTGATAGAACGGAGATTTGTCTTCACTTACCGTGAATCTTCCTTCTCGGTGGTCCAGGAGTGGGGCAGTCCTTCCATGATTCCTTACTCATGGGACTTAGCCCCTCCCTCTCCACTTGCTAGCTGATATTAATATTTTTTGCTACTACCCAGTGTCTTCAAAATGTTTTTGCAGAGAACTGGGATCCACTGTGACTTCTTACCCAATGAATTTAAAAGACAACTATCAATATCAAACAGCTAGCAGCACACCAATGAAAACAAAAACAAAGTGAACTTCAGGTAGCAGCATGTGACCTTTTTTTGCACGAAAGACTCCCATTTTCACAGAACACTCAGATAAAGCCTAGCATTTCACATGTATCTTATATCAGGATTCTTTACATCAACCCTGTAATGTAAAGTCATGCTATTTCTATTCCACAGACAGGGAATACAGGGCCAAACTATATGTGATAACATAGACTCCTATTTTTAAATTAGTCCACCCCAGCAGTGGGGAACAGAACAGAAAGAGATAAACTATGGTAAGAGAGCGGGTATGGCACCCATCAACCAAATGTTCCTTTCGCACTTAAATTTATGTCCCACCCTTCCACAACATGCAAATTTTGCTGCAGACAGTTACACAATACTGATGGGTAACTCTTCAACCAAAAAGTATTTTCCTGATTTATAAACATATCACACATACCAAATAAACAGTATTAGAATCATCTACAATTCAAAAAGTCTCAAGTGTTGTGTTAAAGCTTGACTGAAGTGAATAGCAGAGGTTTCAGACAAAAAAAGTAGTTAATGATGCATTTGCAGTTTATGTAACTCAGCATCACTTCCTGGCTGGTAGAGTAAATGTTTTTTTAAATTTTTTTTTAGATAATACACAGGATTAATATCAGTAGCTATAAGCCACTTAAACAAAAAAAGCAGTATCCATGCTCATAGACATAATACACACTTACCAGAATATGCCTGAGAATTTACATGTGACATCTAGTTGACCAAGTTAATAGAGATCAAGGACAATTACTTTTAAACCAAAAAGTGAACTACAATTTCTACACAATCCTGTGACAGGATAACAAAAAGAAAGATGGCTGTACCTGCTGACATTGCCATTGTGGTCCCAGCCACCATTCCCATAGTGACACCATTTCCTCTAGGGGGTGGAATTGGTGCTGGATACATAGTTGCTGGCATTCCATTGGGCTGCACAACTGTAGTATGATGAATTACGTGGGGTGGTGCTGCATATAAAGGCTGTGTATAGTAAGTGCCTTGCTGTTGGGGGAAAAAACATAAACTTCTTCGCACTGGTGAACATGCATACATAAATAAGTTTCTGGAAAATGCCATTAATTACACAGACACGAAATCAGAGATGGAACACTGCATTCGAAATGGGGCAGGTATTAATTTCTCCCAAGCAAGCAGGGCTGATCTGCGCTCCACCCTCCATCTTTGCATTTTGTCTTCAGAAGAATACCTGATCTTTTAAAAAGAAAAGCAACTTACTGATCATGCTCAGTTCAAGACTAAGCATGTGTTCAGTCCCCAGACCCGACTGGCTCAGAATTTATTTGCTTATTTATACAGCAATACAGAACTGTGGCCCTTAAGAAAACAGCAAAACAGCTACTGCCCTAAAGAGCTTACAACCTAAAGAGGAAAGTAGTGGAGAGAGAGGGAAGCAGGGATAAAGAGGTGAAGACTATGCATTTATTTAATCTACTTATAACTCAATTTCTGCATCAGGTGAGTTAAAGTTAGTTTTGTGGACATTTTTCTCTGCTTTGCACATAAGATGGCAGTTCCATACATGAGATCTCAAAGATGCCTCTATGTGCTACATTGATACTGCAGTGCTTGTCCTCACTGGAATTCCCCAAGACAAAATCATTTGAAATCTGGATATTTAAATTTGTTCCTTGTATTTGCAGTCATTTATCACTTAGGAGTTTATATCCAAGTTCCTGTTCCTATCCATGCTAACTTGGAAACAGCATTCACTAATTTCAAGGGGCCAACACCCACATAAAGGTACATAGGACTGCAGCCTTTGGCGTTCCTATCCCAGTAGCTTGTAGAAAAAGTAGTATTTGCCACAACTATCATATACACATTCTGTTACTGCAGAACCACCACCCCTCCCATGGGATAGACCTGTACTACTTCTGATTATAGGTGATTGTATGCCCCATCATACAAAAATGCCCTGCACATAGAAAACTAAATATCATGGAGAATGATAAGCTATCTTCTTCCTCAAATGTTTACATTGATATGGACATGGGAGATGGAGAGATGCAACAGAATCATATTTCATAAGAAAAATAATTTAACCCCAAATGAGATAGCCCATAGAAGTGCTATCTAAAGTAAAACATGAGGAATGAGAAGAAAGAGACACAATACACATGTACTGAGTCATCTACTAGCTATATATTCACAAAACACTAGTCAGGACAAACCCTGTATTCTCCCATCATTCACAAAACAAGTGAGAAATCTCTCTTATGATTTTACCTGTGCATATGGATTCTGCTGTGGATAGGCACTTCGAACCGGATACACTGCAGTTTGGTAGGGATTGGGCGATGAAGAATAGGGAGGCACTGCCCCACTTGTGGGTGAACAGGAAACTTTATATGGTGTGCCTGGCGTATAACCTGAAACAAAGATAAAATAGCCACATTTAGTCTTTTTGTACTGACAGTCACTTGTCTTCAAATTTAGCTATGTGTCCTTCATCGTTTACAAAAATTTTATTACACTGCTCTCCTTACACATGTGTGTACCATAAGAAATCTCATGACAGACTTACCCAATGCAACATCTTAACTACAGACAGGCAAGTAACGATGAGAAAAAACAAACAACAGTATCTAAGGAAGACCATTTTGTATAGCTCTATGAGCTGCAAAAGCACTGTGCAATGAATGACATGCTGATAATAAAGCTACAGATTCCAAGCTAAGTCAGCCCAGAATCAGAAAATAATCTAACTACATGTTTTCAAGCCTCATCGGCCTAGTTTTACTAGCAGGATGCTGCGGCTGACAGGTTGAGAGGCAAAGAAAATGGAGCAACCCTAGCTCATGGATTTCTAAATTAACCAGTCCTTATATTGGGCATAATTACTGACCAAACATACACAGGGAATGGTCTTGATAAGCTTTTAAAAGGGGGTGCAGGTGGTGATTTTTCAAATTATCTCTTTGAACTGGGGGTGGAAGAAAGTTCATGTCAATCATTATTTCCCAAGCATAAAATATGTTTTGTACATACTACATACAATTTCTCATGTCTTTTGTCCCAGTACTCTCCATACTGTTAAGTTTTTCACAATGCTTCCACATACATACCTGTTTGGAATGTAGGATTTGCTGCAGGGTACATGTTAGGAGAATAGGCAGGAGCAGCAGCTGCATAGCCCATTGGGAATCCAGCTGAGAAGAAGCAGTCACAAAGTACTTTATTACCTACAGTGCTACCCAAATAGTATTTTCTAAATAAGCTAAAATTTATTAAAGCAACTTTATCACTATGTCTCTATTTATTTTTGCCATTTTGATCCCACCCTACCCCGTGAGCGGGCTCAGGACAGGTTACAGCATATCATAAAACCATAAACAATTCCATAAATACTCGGGTCCCAAATGTGGATCCAGCCTCAAGCTGGTAGACCCTATGAGCTGGCCAGCAAGGTGGTTTGGGGCTAAGGAGATAGGAGGAAAGGGTGCAACATGAATGTTGAGGGACATAGCAAGGGGGAAATGGCATCTCCCTTCATCCATGAGTCCCTGCAAGTTCCCCACTTGCAATTTAAAGAGAAACATCTCAGCAATATAAATGAAGGTCATGGGATTCAGACTTCTGCCTTCCAAGCAGGTAATATTCCATTACTGTATATAATGTCCAGCATACTCTTGATATCAACAGATGCTAACAGCAGCAACGTAAGTCAAAACTGTTGATAACTCATTTCCTCTCAAAACATTTGTTACCAAAATTATGTGTGAAGCTGTTTGGCTGAAAGCTCATATAGCCTAAGGCACACAAAACTGCTATACTAATTCCAGAGAATCAAGTGGAATAAGGCAGTATTTGTTGAATATATACAATCACAGGTTGAGGTTTAAATGATACCAAGTTATTTTTAAGATAAAATGTAAACATAGAATTACAGGGTTGAATCCAACCAGTCCCCCCCCCCCCACAATGAATGTTACCCAATCCCCTCCCTACTAAAGCCCTGGGTCTCAAATGGCTTTTGTATATGCAGGTCCCATGATCTCCAGCAACCACTTTATTTAGTGATCAAAGGGGACCACTCCTTTTTCCATCAGCAGAAAGCTGGATTCCTACCAAAGAGTTAGTACTCATACAAGCTATTAAAAGACAACACAACCAATCTTTCAGATTGCACAGAAAATATACATCTCAAACATATTTGGGCAAATTTTAGATATCTAGGCAGTAATTATGGAACTGGCCTGGCCTGTGTTTATTATGATGGATGGGTACTGCACGGTCAAACTGTTTCAGCCAAAAATATTCAGAAATAAACTCTGTATTATTGTGCAACAGAGTTATCATTTGAAGAATATCCCAAGGGTTGTTCACATGGCCATAAGCACAAATAATGCACACAGTCACATTTAAAGTGGATAGATCCAGAATCTGTGGGTAGTTGTGGCTACCTGCTAAACCAACATGTTGTAACAGGTGCATGTGTTCTCGGCGCCCAAGACTCTTAAAAAGGTTTACAAGCAATTTTTCTTAATAGTTGTTAATTCCACAAACATGTACTTGCTTACTCATACTGTGAATTCCACACAGAACTTTATTTTACACATCTGAAGTGTGCAAGCAAGGATTACAAATGACTACATCTCCAAGCACACATAGTGATACTACAAACTGAAATATCAATAAACATTTATATACTGTTTTCCTTAAGTGTTCAAGCCTTCAACACAAGCTGTCAATCTTTCCAACAGCCTATAAAGTAAGACACTATTAATAAAGACATGTTAAATGGTACTTTTCTAGTCACCAGAGGTGAGCAAGAATTTCTTCCATGAGACTAAGCATGGAAGATTTACTGAAAACCTGCATTAACTCTTTTGAGCTACATACCTAACATTCAATTGTACATTAGTAGTCTCCTAAATTGTTAGCTTGGTGACCTTTGTGGACTTATTTGCCAAGTCCCTCACAGTAGGACAGGGCTGAGACATAATGGTTTGTCTGAGACCAAACAGTCAGTTTATGGCCAAGATGATATTTGAACTACAGACATGGTAACCACTCTAACCACTGCACTAGATGCACTTGAAAAGTCTGCATGCTTAAACATCCTGTTGCAAGGCTGAAATCAGTGCATTTCAAATACTGTAAAAAGATGCTAACAACTCTAAGGCTGAACATTTATCTGCACTTACTTAAAAGGAAGCCCAATTTAATACAGAGGGACCTGCTTTTGAGTAAGCTTTATAGGACTGCACTGCCTATTGCTTAATAGGAACTCTGAATTTTATACTATAGTCAATGGGAACATATCAATTGGCATATTTTTTAAGATTACATAGTAGCATTAACAGCTTCCTACTAAGTGGGGGAGCCTCTAGTAACTCCAGGTTCCTTGTAGCTGTGGAGAGATTCTTTTCTAGCAGTGCCTGGGCTTCATCAATATCATACTCCAGCATTACGTTGGCCCCCAACCAGAGGCACACTTTATCTGTAGGAGGAACTGATGCTTTACAGTAGAGGTTTATCTGCCAATAAAAATCTGGTTTCCATTGTTTTTGTGGACTCTTTTTTCTTCTGCATGTTCTTTAAGATCTCTAATGTCTGCTTAATTCCAGGAATTTGATTTTTTAAATCTTTTCTCCTGGGCAAGGTTAAGCTCCATATATTATATTTCTGATACTGTTCATCCAAGTTTCTTGAGCACTATGTCTGCTGTCTCTTCTCCTGGCTGTTTTCATGAAAGAATCAACATCTTCTATGAAGACCGCCTTGGGAATACCCATATGAGCCCTCTTAATGCCTGCGGGGCCATCACCACGAACTGCCTCGTCACTGGTGGCCGCTGCCATCTTGAATTATTTTCACTTTTGACAGATCCTAACAGCAGTTTACAGAAGCTATTTTAACTAAAAGGAATCAACATTTTGTAGATACTAAGTATTTGCAAGAAATACTAATGCTTCTAGTGAGGCAAGAATAGCAGAGTATTCCTGCAAATACATCACTTCCTCATGAAGAAACAAAGGAAGAGCAGCACAACCTTTTATAGTCATGCACCAGAAGAAAAATGATGGCGCCTTATCTTGCATTAAGTACATGGCAGTATATTTTCTATTACTGTTAGTTCATTTCAGAATATAATCAAGATCAGATACTGAATATTAATCTGTCAAGTGAACCATTTTATAGCCCCAAACAGAATGTTAAGCCATGATATCAAATCATCCTCTGATCTGCATTACTTGAAACCAAACTGAGTGGTTCTGCTGAAATGTGATGAAGATTATTTTGAACACTGAGACTACAGTCCTGTACCCGTAGGCTAAAATGTAAAAGATCCCACTGTAAGTGTACAAAATAGTACTTCTTGTATGATGCTATACAAGAAAGATTAGTTTAAATGAAAACAATTACTTCAGCAATTTCAATCAATGTCATGCAGCTTTTCCAAGCACAGAAATAGGAAAAAACCACCCTTAGCACTGTAGTTTTGTGGCCCTTTCCATGCCTTCTGGACCCAGAAAAGAATACAGAACCAGCATTAGCTCTGAGGCACTTTCTGCGCCTTCTGGGATCACAGCCAAGTAGCACAATTGCTCACCACAGGACCTGCTGCCTCAGGGTAGCGCCACCAATCTGCACATGACATGTTACCTACCTACCCTTTTGGAAGACTGACAGTAGAAAGTACAACCACAGTTTCCTGGAATTCTCCTGTGTTTCTGATATCCTTTATACCAGAAGAAAGTGGTGTTGCAAATGCAAACTGATGTAACATCACTCAAGCCCAGTTTCTCTAGATCTACACATGCAGCCAACAGCAGTTTTTGGCTACCTTCACGGCTTGAACAGTTTGTTATTTAGATGTCCAATAGGAGATAACTGGCTACTCCATCCAAACTGTAATTTGAAATCAAAACTCAATATCCAGTTTATTTATTACCACCAAGGTAATATGTTTAGAGTTTTACATACCTGGATAACCAATTCCTTTGGCATTTGCATAGGGAACCCCAGAAGATCCAGGACTATAGACAGGATTCATGATTTCAATAACTGTAAGAAAGAAGTTGGGAAAAGACTATGAAGTTCATAAACACTATTGTTCAAGTGAAATATTAAACAGATACCCTAATTTCATCTTACATTCTCACTTCCTTGCACATGCAACAAACGCTCTTCTTCGCTTTAACATTGTTAATTGCATCCTCTGATGACATGCCGGCTAGTACCACATGAAAGAGTGATCATAAGCAGGGTGGATCCAAGACCATTTTCCCTCTGCCAGCAGTGTGTAACTTCTGGCACCCCCCATGGCAGCCTGAAATGCCACACTGAAATCTTGCTGGATCCACCCCACATCTTTACAATGCAGCCTTATGCCTCTATACCATTGCCTGCAAATGCACACAGGCCCAAATGAAGGTTAACTACCACTTTGTTTTAACAATACTTCCTGGAAGTGACAATCATAGTTTTGTTGCACTTCAGAGAACAAAAGTTCTCTTAAGAGGGAAAACGATCCCTTTAAAAGATATGCTCATACTTCTTTGCACGGATACAAAATTGCCCCTGCCCAACAAACCAATTGTAAAGCCTCTAGCGGTTATACAAGCAATTCTTTGGGTGTATGTTTGGGGAACTAACCCAACAACAAGCCCCTGGACCAGCTGATCTGATTCTTTTAAGGGTTACTAATGTGTTCATAGTATCTAAAGGAAGACTACACAGTTGCCCTAATATTTGGCACAATATCTTTCTGCATATATTGCAGCTTGTAACAGTTTTTAGCACTTATATAGCTCAGAGACCAGCCCTGAAATGAGAGGTTTAGTTATGCAGTTCTTAACTGTCAAATTCTCAATGCTTATTTCTTTAGATAATTCAACACCCTAAACTAAAATTTAATCTCAATATATTGTTTGCTAAAAGACATAGAATACCATGGATTATTTTCATTCTCTGAAAATAAAACAAAGACACTCAAATTTGGTTTCAAATAACGATTTGCTTTCAAGATCTACTTTTAGAAGCTTTATCTAAAAGTTACTATTTACTGGCTTCGATCCCACAGAAAATCCCTGCTGATTGAAGAAATTCTCATCAGCAGAATGTGAATTCCAACCTCTCCTGTGAAGCCAAGATGCTCCCCAAAATTCTGGAGGACAAGACATTCCTGGAAGCATGATGAGGAGAGAGTCAGAGGTATGCAGTAGGAGGGAGGAATTGGCAAAAAATCACCCCTCCCTTCCATCTGCAGAAATCTTCTACCAACCCATCATAAATAATATAAGTACAGGCTCTGAGCCACCAATTTCAAATTAGGAATTACAACTTTCATTTTGGGAATGAAGCTTAGCATCTGCTTGATTTAATGCAGCCACAGGTGAAAATGTTTATTCAGGAAATGTAGCACAAGTTAAGAAGAAGAAGAGATTGGATTTATACCCCGCCCTTCACTACCTGAAGGAGTCTCAGAGAGGCTTAGAAACTCCTTTCCCTTCCCCTCCCCACAACAGACACCCCGTGACGTAGGTGGGGCTGAGTGAGCTCTTTCAAGAACTGCTCTTGAGAGAACAGCTCTGAGAGAACTTGTGACTGACCCAAGGTCACGCCAGCAGCTGCATGTGGTGGAGTGGGGAATAAAACCCAGTTGTCCCAGATTAGAGTCCTCACTCCTAACCACTGCACCAAACTGTGTCCAACCCAATAACAATTCAGAGGGGTATGACAAGGGTGCATCCTTGCTCCACATCTATTTAATTTATACTTGAATGACTTCGTTCCTAGACTGCAAACTATACCTACCCATGCACCTTATATTGGATCTTATCTGCTATATGCTGATGACTTAATGCTGATATTAAGGACGCGCATTGGGCTGAAATTTGAAATAAGACCCTTTATTGCGTATTGTGACAATGAATTATTGGAAATTAACTAAGATAAATCTAAAATAGCAATATTTACTAAATCATCTAAAAGACAAAGTAAGGAATGGAAAATAGGAGCTTATAAATGCCAGCAGGTTGATGAATTTAAATACTCAGGCATTATTTTTCAATCAAATCTGAAGTGGACCAAGCATGTCCAATATCTTAAAGGGAAAGTTGAACTAGCACTATTGGCACTTAAAAATATATATTTTTTACACCTGTGGAGCCCAATATATTTCGGCTCTTCTGAAAGCATATCAAGCCTTAATTTTATCTCGTATTTTGTATGGTTCCCCAATATGGTTCACAGATTCGGTAGACCTTTTGGAAATAACTCAGTTAACCTTTTTTCCATAAAGTTTTATCTCAGCCACCATCTATCGCTTCTTCAGTGATACATTTAGAGTTAGAGTTACCAAAGATCTCGACCTTAATTTGGAAAGCTATAAATACTGAACCAGCTGGCGCATTTAGAACAGAATGTTCACATTTTGGAGCATTCAGATTAGCCTTGTGACACAGAATAATTTGCAACAAGTGCTGTATCTGCATATTTTTGAAGACAATATAAAGTGTGTGTGAGGTACCTAACCCTAGGATAATCTTCCCAAGTTTGGCATATCTAACTCAAAATTAGGAAATAAACAACCAGTACTCAACTCGAACACTGCATGTTACTTACAGCACTTTTCAAGAAGAATCCACTACCAACAACATTTTTATAAAGTTAGACCAGTTTACCCTGCACAGTTTTACAACTGAGATACAGATGTTCGATGGATAGGATATACAAATATCAGAACTCCTTTCACCCAATGCAGTAAAATCAGAATGATTGTTTTGCTGGTTGCAGAACCAGGCAATAAGACATTCTGCTATCTGAAATGGAATGTCGATGTTCAGACAATTGCCAACAAGGAAGCACTCAGCAGGCAGCTGAAAACAGAACAGCAAGAAAGCACTCCTTGCTCTTCCCTCAGCAGTCACTTCACAAGGCTGTGCCAGAGTTAAGCAAAACTGAAGGGCACTTCAAATATTTAAGTTAATACATGAATAGCATGAAATTACAAAAAGATATGGCCTATCTACATTTTCTTGGAAGTAAGCCCCATTTTAAAACGGTGGGGTTTCTTATGAATAGACACATACAGAACTGCACTGCAAGTCTTCTCAAAAGACTCCTGAAAACTGAGGGAATTTTGTGACTGCTCAAGCATATTCTTGCACCCCACAGACTACAATTTCTCACCCTACCCCCTTTCAAGTTCCTAAGAAAACAAAGCTTGTTCCATCACAGTATGTTTCCAGCACTTTCAGGTTCTAATTTAGTACACACACTTAGGCCAGACCATACATGCTGATTCTTGGTTATTAAACTTTACTAAAAAGCCTCTACTCACACTGGCCTGGTAGTCTGCTACCAATCACTTGCAAATCAGTTTAATAGCTCGTAAAATCTCAGGTTTCTGTAAAGATGGCTTAAAGGAAAAGCAACGTAAACATAATAAAGATACATTTTATGGCTTAACTTCTAATTCTGGCAATTAATTTTAACTACCAAAAATGTGGCTCATAATTTGAGTTCTCAATGACTACTGATATGTGGAACTAGAGATATATAAACTTTTCTCACACTGCTTTCAATTGTACAGCTCCAGATCTTTCATCACTAAAAAGTCCCAAATGTGCTTCTAGAAAACTGCCTGAATGAAAATCCCCAATACCATAGTGGCAAAATGAAGCTCAAAAATTTTGGATCACATCCAGTGTATATTTAGTATTCATATATGGTTGTCGAAAACACCTAAGACAGCACTGAACATGTTACCTAAGTGTCTATACAACTTTTATTGACATGGTGTTCTATAATCAATACCCTTGGTTTGGGACATTCATACAAATCATGCTGAGGATAAATCTGTTCTTATAACCAAGCAGTAAGCTCTGTATTACACTGTATAGAAAGCATATGTCTAAGTGACTAAGCAACTGTATCCTAACCATTTTTAGTTGACAGTGAGGGCCACAGAGATCACTAATTTTCATCCACAACCGGTGTGCACAGGTTTATAGTGATACAGTTCAACAACATACATATATCTTTGGAAATACATATCACCGATTTTAACTGAACTCGTTCCCAGGAAAGAAACGGGACTGCAGCCTCAAAGAACGCAAAACCCCAAACAGTCTCTCATATTTTAAGTGAGGAAACTCTGAAAGTCTCATTCAGGAAGACCACCACGGGTGCAATTTTTCTCTCTGCGCAGCGCTCCAATTTTAAGACTGCTTACACGTTTTTCTCTTTGTCACCGCGGCCGATAGTGAGCGGAAGCACAGCCTAATCCCCTCTCCCCTCCCCTGGCAAAGCGGGCACCTCTTCCAATGCTTCCCGCGGCCACAACACTAACTTGGCGAGGCGCCCTCGCGACCTAACCTAAACCCGGGCCCAAGGAGGATATCCCCCCCGCGCCGAGAGTCGCCAAGCGCGCCCGCAAAGCATCGCCGTGGCATAGCCAGAAAGAGGCCAAGAAACGGAACGCGGCCGCCTCCTCGCCTCAGGGCGGCGTGAGCGGCTCTGCCCTCTCCGCAGGGCCTCGCACTGGCCGTACATCCCCCACCGCGGCCTTGCCCGGGGAATTGCAACCAGGGCGGGGGGAAAGAGGCAAACACGGAGCGGCGAACCCCGCGGGGGCGCCGGGAGGCAGAACGGCTGGCCACCCCCTCCCCTTCTCCTTCCCTTCCCGAGGGGGCCGCGGTGGAGGGGAGGAGCCGAGGCGGCTGCGGCGGCGCTCGGCTCCTTCACTTACGAGACTGCGGCGGTTTGTCGCAGCGGCGGCGCCGGCCCGGCTGTGGCTCTCTCGCTCTCGGTGGCTGAGGCGGGAGGGGGCCGAGCCTGGAGCGGCTGCCGCGGCTGCTGCTATTTCACTACAGGTCCCTCCCGGCGGCTCCTTCCAGGCTGTCTCTCGTTCGCTGCTGCTCTCCGGAGAACTGCGCAGCAACCTAGCGGCCCAGGACGTCACATCCGCCAGGCGGCTGGGTGCAGAGGATGGACGGCGGCCGTGCAAGCCTGAAGCCCCCAAAGGCAAGGGGAAACCACCGTCACGTGCGTGGGGGAGTAACACGAAGGGTCAGCCCCTGTCACGTGGTGCCAGGGCAGCGCGCGCCCTGTCAGTCTCTTTTCAGGTTTCGCTTGGGAGGGAAGTAGGATTGCGTCGTCTTTCCGGATTTTGTTCAGGAATCCATATCCTATCTTACCCTTCAGGCTGATAGCTTTAGAAATCGCGAGGACGAAAATTAGTTAACTCCCCCAGACACATAACACCGCCTAAAGGAAACAAGTGAGCGTTTGTGTGGGTATCCTCCTAAAGAAATGCAGCCATTAATGTTCCTTTACTTATTTATTTGGAAAAAAGAATTTATAACCTGCCGTCTGCCTTTCCACTCTAAAAATAAAAAAGTCTTCAAAGTGCAAAACACCTTTATTTAAAAACATTCATTTAAAAACAGGCACTAAAACAAGAAAATAACACCAATCTACAGTGCATATTTAGTTCCTATCAGTAGTAAATTAACAAGAAAAATAGGGCTACAGTCCTAAGAACACTTGCTTGTAAGTAAGGCCAACTGAATTAATTGAGACTTTAGGAATAGACTGGATTATGATTGCTTCTAAAAGTGTAAGTGTAAAAGTGTTTAAAAGTCTAATCAGTTACACCCATCTATGTCTAATGAAATCAATGGGTTTAGAAGGGTACAGTGGTGGGACCCACAAGGACTTACAGGGAGCAATCTCATTTCCCCTCCCCCACTATATCCTCTTTTCCTTCTCTGCAGTCCTCTAGCACGGTGTCAAACAATCTGGCCTGCAAGGCCCTGGCTGTTTTCTGCTTCCTTTTCCAGTTCTGCTGCTGCAGCCATGTTGCAGCTTGCTTTACCAGATTCTCTCAATCACACAGGAGAGATAGATAGGCAAGTCTCTCCTGTGTGATTGAGAGAGTCTGGTAAAACACTGGCTGAGGCTCCTCCCCCTCCTCCTCTCACAGGGAGGGAACCAGCCAGAGCTTGCTTCCTGGCCAGGCTGCCTCAATTGTATACAGAAGACAAAGGGAAGCTTTTATTTCCTTCACTGGCTGAGGCTCCTCCCTGGAGGGAATGAATGAGGGAGAGCTTGGTTTGCTAGGCTGCCTCAGTCGCAGGGGAGAAATACCAAGCACCTTTAAGACCAACAAAGTTTTGTTCAAGGTATGAGCATTTGTGTGCCTTGCTACAGTGTGTGTGTGTGTTGTTGGGTTTTTTATGCCAGGGCTCTCCTGGGTGCAACTGGGTTCCCTCCCCCTTTTCACTGTATTCATGGCCTCATGATCCAGTCTTTCTCAGAAAGAAAGCAATCTGAACTATTTTAGAGGAGGAACACCAACAAGCTAGTGAGGTGGATTAGGCTGAGTGTGTGTGTCCACACCAAGTTCACCCAGCACATTTCCTTTGTAGGAAGTTGTAGTTATTTCTTTGGGGGAAAGTGCAGTTTTGTAGACAAATACATAGCCCTCAGTCTGTGTCAGGATGCCTTCTCATGTTCTTGATCAGCACATGAAGCAACTTGTGTACAAAAGCTCACAATGCCCAGCCATTTCATGTTTTCCCCCTGGGTCCTAGGCTCAGAACACTGAGCATGAGATTTCTGTAATGAATGTCAATAAATCAAAAGTAGGTTTGCAGCTTACAGATACACACCTGAACAGTATTCTCAAGATTGCTACAGCACAGACATTTTGATGCAATAATTCAGAGCAAAAGGTGTCAGTTATCAGAGACTGTTAAAAAGACAAAATATTGCAAGAGTGCTAGTGTTTTAAGCATGTTTTATTTAAAGTTTAAAAATATTTAATTGTGTAACTGTGTCCTTTATAAAGTTTATATCTCCATTACCTGGCATTATATTTTATGACACACATGGCCCAGCCCAGCAAGGTCTCGTTTATGTCAGATCTGGCCCACATAACAAATGAGTTTGACACCCCTGTTCTACAGCCTCTCCCCTTTTCTTTCTTTCTTCTCTCTTCCCACCCAGCAGCCAACGCCCACCTTCATCTTGCCTTCCTTCCCTTACCCTGGCAGCCTCTTCCTGGGGAAACTCTGCTTGATTCCAGTTATTGAGCTGGGCCAAACCAAGTTCAATGGTGCCAGCTGCTGGGCTTGGCCCTGATGTACAAGAGGGAACCCACAAATCTTGTGGGGGAAGCACCTCAATTTCCACTGTATTCCACTCCCTACATTGTTTCCTTTCCCCCTTCTCCTGGCAAACTACATGTCCTCACCCCTCCATGTTTCCTTTTTGCCTTTCCATTCACTCATTCTTCCTCTTCAGCTGCATTTATTTACTTCATTTATACCCTGCTTTTCTCCACAATGGGGACCCAAAGCAGCTTACATCATTCTTCTCCATTTTATCCTCACAACAAACCTGTGAGGTACGTTAAGCAGAGAGTGTGTGACTGACCGAAGGTCATCTATGGCAGAGCAGAAATTTGAACCTAGGTGTCCCATCCTAATCTGAAACTAACCACTACACCAAAGAAGAACCCCATGAAGAAATGCATTTTTTCTTTGGAGGTTTAAAATGAGCAAAACCTTCACCCTGAGGGAATATATAATTGTGACATTTTTTTCCCTGAAGGAGATGCAGCTGAAGTTAGTGGAAATGCATTCCATGCTACTAACTGATGCCACCTGAGCAAAGCTGGATCTCAAAGCACCCCACATTGTAAACCTGTTCTTTTCCCATACAAAACTGGTTGAACACTACCTTCATGGCCCAATGAGCACACCCACAATTTCTCCATCTTATGTGTATGGAATGTCAGTTTATGTTCAGAACATCCAGAGCTCCCTTTAGATTAGATGAAAAGGAGCAACAGAAGATGGGTGTCACCTGCATATTGGTGGCACCTCACTCCAAATATTCAGATAATCTTTCTCAGCCTTTCCAGTATTTCTCAGCATTTAGGAAGGGGCTATGTCTCAGTGGTAGAGCATCTGCTTCACATGCAGAAGGTGCCAGGTTCAATCTCTGGCATCTCCAGCTAAAAAGGATCAGATAGTAGGTGATAGGAAAGGCTTCTCCCTGAGACCCTGGAGAGCTGCTGTCAGTCTGAGTAGACAATACTGCCCTTGGTGGACCACGGGTCTGATTCAGTTTATAGTAGCTTCACATGTGTTTATTTTACATAATACACATTAGAGATATGAACATATAAAGCTGCTTTATAATAAGCTAGACCATTGGTCCATCTTGCTTAGCAACTAGATTACCTACTTTGAGGTGCCAGAGATGGACAGGTATGTCCTAAACACCTGCCACGTGAGCTCCTTTAACTGCAGATGCTAGGAACTGAAATCAACCTGTCAGAACTTATTAACAGCTGTTTCCATAACGGGGGGCCACCACCAAGACTCACCATCTCTTGACTGTATCCAGTGACCAACAATTTGATATCAGATGGACCTGTCAGAAGATTAGTTGTACTGGAAAGTACATACATAAGATGCTCCCTGTTACTGCTTAGAGGCCCAGGCTTGGACACACGAAGTACACATATGCTTCTGTGTTTGCCATTATTACATTTATACATTGCCTATTCCTAACATGGAACCCACAGCTACCATAGAACCTTGGTTCCTAAGAGGTCCATTATCCAAGCACTGACCAGGCTTATACCTGTTTAGATTTTTCTAGGTTCCTGTATAATACGTCTTCCAGCCATACCTTGTAAGATGCTGTCTCCCATGGGTACATTGGTTGTGAGAATAGACTCGAATGTGGAACTAGGAGCTGGATGTTTTAACAATAGCTTGTGATATGGTATGGCTATGTGTTAAAGAAGTTAATTAAACCTTCTCAAGATGTGTACATTTTTGTGGGTCACGGGGGTGTTTTCCTTTAGACATGGAACAGATGAACAGTACAGTGACCCAGTGGCTGGAGGGGTTTTTTTTTTGTAATAGTGACATATTGCTTCAAAAGCACCATGACAAAGGAAGACCTCCCCCCTTTCTGAACTGTTGTATCAGCTCCAGCCACAGATTCACACTGCTATTGTTTTCTCTTGGCCGGGCCATTATGGAGCCAGGAAAGAAGTGCATAAGAGACAAATTCCAGATGGGTAGCTGTTTGACAGCCCAAACCCATTTCTAGTTGGTATCCTGTGAGTACTCAGCAGTGGGGAAATACTTCCAAGAAAGTCATACTGCAAGGAGGGTAGTGCAATTGCACCAGATCCGACAACAATCTTATCACAACTCTGAGGCCTGCCTTATGAAACCTGAAAATGGAGACCCTTTTCCCAGAGCTTTGGCTTGCTCTGTGTGGTGCAGGCTGAGGATGCTTCCTTTGGCCTGACGTTTGTGGGTCTCTGGTTCAGGTCAGGAGTGGGGTGCCCCTGCTGTTGGGGCTACCCTATAGTAAGGCTGCGCCTCTGGGCTACAATGGATGCAGCCAACCAATGCACAGCAATGCTGGCATGGCTCCCTAATGTCATCCTGCCCCTACCCACGTGCCAAACAACACCTGAAGGAACAAAGGAGACCGAGTAGACTTCACTGTAAGGAGGTCTGGCAAGGCCTGAACACACTCTGGGAAGGTCTGCAGCCATGAGCTCAGCACCTCTTCCTACAGGTGAACAAAGAGAACATTCTGACCACAACATCCACATGCCCAAGGCCTCTTCTGCACAAAGGTTTGGCTGGGCAGAGTTTCGGAGAGTCAGGCAAGTGGGGTGAATTCACTAGGGCCGGAACAAGAGAATACACAACTGAGTATTCATGTCATGTCCTTAATACATGTGAGCGTTCAGTTCCTCTCAGCATAGGTCAGAGCAGCCTCAGAGTGTAAAGTGAGGCCTGAATAGCCTGTGGGAGGATCTGTTGGGACTGCATCACAGGCCTTTATTTATGTCATTACTGTACAGAAATTCCTCCTGTAAGTGTCCTATGCTTGGCTGAGGGATCCAGCTTCCCAAGTGGGTCCTGGGAGCAATTTCCA